TCTGGTTACTCTCAGCGTTTCAGACTGGATTTTTCATCCCCCCTTCCCATGAAAGAGCCACCGTCTTCCCCGCGGGAACCAGCTCCTCTTGTGCTCCTGCTTGCCCCTGTGGGACCCCCTCGATGGGGCAAGCAAACCCCAAAACAAGAGATGTGATATTCCCTGCAGGGATAAACCCGAATGCACACGACCCCGCATGGAAACCCAGCGAGGAGAAGGCACAGCCACCTCTCGCAGCGCCAGCACTGCAGGCTGGCACCGGCTGCCGCCCATGGCAGGGTGTCTGTGGGGTGCTCAGTGCGATGTGAACCTCCCCTACCCACCGCAAGCCCCCTCCTCGCTGCCCCATCCCTCTCCACAGCACCCGGAATAGCAACCGCTTGCACAACAGGGGCTGGACCACACTTTATATAAAGCTAAATTATAGTTTGGGCAAAGGGAGGGAGACCAAAGACCCGTAATTTCCCTGTCTATAACAAGAGGTTCTACACACAGGCAGGCAAGGGCGGGTGGGGGGAAGAGAGACCTCGGACACTTCATTATACTCAATATAACAAGAGCTTCTACAAGCAGGAGCCGGGGGGAAAGCCAGGCAGACCTCACACCTATAATTACAGGGGCTATAACAAGAGGCCCTACAAGGGAGGTGGAGGGCTCCATCCCCACTCTGGGGTCAGCAGGAGCCTGGATGTGCTGCAGACGGGCTGCAACCAGCCGGGAATGCTGCTTGCTCTGCTCCCAGCTCTGCTACACCCCATCTGCCTCAGTTTCCCCACAGGACCATCCCCTCTGTGCTCCCTGCGATGCTGACCCAGCCTGGGGTCAGAGCTCCTGCAAGAGGGGGTCTGCTGGGAAGGGAAGCTCATCCTGATGTAGAGCCCTGCTCTCAGCCGAGGCAATTCTGGGGCTCAACTAAGGGAAATTCAGCAGCTCCAGCTGAATTCTGCACAGCCACTCCAAAGCCCCAGCAAAAGGGGAGTACACAGCCCCCAGAAGGTGAAAAGTCATTCTTATGCCCCAGGAAAGCCCAGGGCAAAACAGGGAGGAGAGGAAAGTAGGCTGTCTTCCACCTATAGGTGTTTGCAGACAGGCATGGTGTACAGGTGAATAACAACCTCATGTTTTGCATCCACGTCCTCTGTCGTGTCCCAGCCTGGGCTGGCCCGAGTCAGACCTGCAGCGTTTGGTGCCTGTTAGAGTAGAATGCAAACGTGGGGAGCTCTGGATGAAGCCCTGATCCGGGGCACCTGGGGCAGGGCACAGCTGGGATCTGAGCTGATGGGCACTGGTGTAACCAGGAGCTGCTCTGGTTTAAGCTATGAGATGTCTGGAGCATGCTCAGGACTTGCACATCAACAGCCATGGCTTTGGGGTTGTGCAGAGCAGCCCCATCACTGCCAGCTCTCCTGCCCTGCTCTTCCTTGAGGTCACATCTCCTGCAACCATAAGGGATTTACACTGGGAAAAAGAGCTGGAAAACCCACTGCTGCAACAGAACGGCTGGAGAGCTCCAGCTGACCCCTGCCTCTGCCATGGCCACCCCACGCTGCCTCCATCCCATCCCTTGTCTGCTCCAGACCCATTCCCAAGGGGCAGAGGACAAGGAGGGTCTGTTCAGACCCTGAACTCCGTGTGGAAGCATAAGGATGTTGAGCTGAGTACGGAGACAAGGTTTTGCCATGTCCACTTCACACATATAATTACCCTGCACAAGAGGTCTCACACACAACCGCAGCGATGCAGGGAGGAAGATGGCAATTACATTAACTCCCACTGGAACAAGCTGGCCAGAAGAGAGACAAAAATAGACGGGAAAGAAATGTGGGTAAGTTGGTCCATCCCTGCCTCCCGCAGCCTCGCTTGCCTGCTGCTGCCTGGCTGGGGGGAGCAGGCGGATGGCGCTGACCCCCAAGAGCACAACATCCCTTGGGAGTGAACTTGAGAAAGGCTGTGTCTGCCCCCATGGTCAGATCCTGACCCAGGGCAGGGCTGGGGGCAGCCGGACACACGTGGGCTCAGCACCAACTCTGCAGGATCCAGGGACCAGGAACTTCCCAGGCACCATCCAACCCACAGGGGAAAACATAAGGCACATGATGTGCAGCTCCACAAGGGTCCTGTGCACATACGTTTGCCCCCTTGGCTGCATGCCCTCATCACCCCTCTGAACATGTGCTTTTGGGGGCACAAAGCCCCCAAAAGAGGGTTTTCTGCTCCCAAACCACACTGAGCTGAGCAGAGAGGATGAGCTCCATCCCCCCATCACTGGGGTCTGGAAGGGGGTCCCCTCTTCCTGCTGCTACCAGGGCAGGGACTGGCTTCTCCCCTCCCCTGTTGTCACCAGAACAAGACCAGGCTTGACCTAAATCTGTCAGGTTTAAAACAAACCAGGCAAAACGCAGACAAAGCCCTAAGGAGAGCTGGCCCCTGGGATGGGACATCCATCCCCTTCCCCGCCTGCAACCCCAGCCTCTTCCCAGCCAGGCAAAAGCTCATCCTGTGGTGGAGAAACAGCCTGGGATGAGGCTCCAGCTCTCTGCTCCCCCATTCTGCACCACCTCTTGTGAAACACAGGGAGAAAGGAAGGTGACACGGTGCAGGGAGAGGACTCACGTGTTCATGAGAACAGAGGTAATAATAAGGCATTTAAACATAACAAGCCAGGCTTCAGTAAATGACAGGGCTGCCGTGAGGTACAAAGATTAGGAAATCTGATAGACTGTGTGGAACTCCTCTCTTTGCCTCCTGGTTGCCAAGCCCAGGAGATGCACACGGGTCAGGTTTTCTGACTCTCCTCCCCATTTACAAAGTCCAAATCCACCCGCCGTAAAAGCCCCAAGACATCAGTGAGCTCCAAAGTCCACCCAGCATCGCAGGGGCTGAGAGGAAAGGAGGGAGGAGAGGAAAGATGGGAGGAAGTTGGAAGGTTTCATGGGTTTTATCCAAGTATCTTGTGATACTTGTGCAAATCCCACCTCTTTAGAGGCAGCATGTTTGCATGAGGTGGTGTCAACCACCACAAAAAGGATGGAGAATCCACATCTGGCTGGATCCACATCTGAGCCCTTCTGCACCTGAAGAGCATCCAAATCTAACACCGT